GTCGGCAACGCCGAGGCTCGATTTGGGCATCGGCATATTAATGTGTATCACGCCTGGTTACGTGACCCGGGTTACGTCACGTGAGCGCTGGCAACCCTCCCTTTTGGCGCGCGCCGTCACCTCCGTCACGCGGCTGGTAACCTCTCTCCGGCGATCCGCGTTCGCGGAGTCCTCGATAGCGTAGATAGCGTCACACGAATGAATCCGTTTTTTCCGCTCTCTCCCCGTTCTCCTCTGATCCCTGTCCCCCTCCTCCTCTTTGGGATCAACAGTCTGCTCTCGCCCTCAGGCATCCCTGAACTCCCACCTGGGTTGTTTGGACCTCAGTCCCCCCCTCCGTGCAGCTCCTGTGTGACCCCCTCATCTGTTCGAGAGAGGTGACCCCGATCGAGGAAACCGCGCATCCCGAAGGTGGAAACCGCTATTGCGGCTCCCGCTTTTCCCTCGAGAACGGAATCCTCGAATGCGACCCCAACGATAGCGGATAGTGAGGTCCCGATTGCGGCATCGAAAGGTGTTTCCGCGATCGAGGAAACCTTTTTAGATGTACCAAATAGACTACATCTCAAGAATAAAAGACAAAATTTTAAGAGCCACATCTGTAGTGAGGCTCATCAAAATTCAGATAATGCACGGTTAACATTTTAATGAGGTTCTTTGCTGAAATTTGGTCTGAACTATTGCCTGCAAAAATAATGGTTACCATTTTTCTAGGAGGGCTCATTGAAAAAGCAGTTCTCAAGCCTCTGCCTTTTGCAAATCCAAAAGCATACTTTGAAGGGGTTAATATAATTAAATCTAACTAGTTTGATTGAGCAAATAAAGGAGCAGCTCACGCGACGCTTCGACGGCGCGTTATCGCAAAAATATCGATAATGGCTCCGAGAGCCACACGTTCCGTATTTGGCCAAAGTCGCTAAAGGGACAATGTAAATACATATAAAACAATGGTAGTATGTGGGGGACAATGGCAATATATGCCAAGGATTTAGGTATTCAGACTGGTAACGTTACCTGCGCACCAGGTAACGTTACCAGTGGGTTACCAGCGGGTAACGTTTGTCTATGATATATCCTGTGTATCCAGACAACATCTTGGTCAATACTGGGAACGCGGACAAAGCTATAGAGGAAGAGCTAGAACGCCACCCATCTACCACTTACGAGCCTCGCCTTGAGCCTTCCTTGCCTTCTGATCCAATTATCACAGTGAAATCGCAGCCCCTCCCCAACTCTGGTCTTCATCAAGATCTTTCCAACCTTAAAATCAGAAGCTAACTGATTACGGAAGTGGTAAGGAATCCGCTACGTTTCTCAGCTGGCTTTTCAAGCTTACCACGTTTACTACAGCGACTTACGTGGTCAAAGGACCGGGGGAAGGCGAAATCCAGCCCATCCTTCTTCGTGCGTCGGAGGTGATCCTCGGGCAGCCGTGGTCAACACCGGTTGATATTTGGTCTGCAGGTTGTTCGGTAAGAGGCTCTCTATTTCTATCAGGTCCGGCTCACGAGGAAACTGTGTTATGCAACCAGATGTTTGAATTCCTACCTCACATACCTCTGATCCAATCCACGAAGCTTCTGCCGCTACCCCTGCCGGTGTCCACCACCGAAGGCTAACGGGCCCTTCACGCCTCAGTATTTGAAAAATGCAAGGGCCGTGAGGCATACTTTGACGATCAAGGCAAGTGGCCATTTATGAAATCTTCTCGCGTTCGAGGCATGGGCAGAACGGACCGCGATCTGCTATGCAGCATTCCACCTTCGCCCCCTGTTGAGTGCACAAGGTTTGGCGAATCATCATCGGAGGGAAACCTTCTTTGCCTTGTCAATCTTGTCTTCATATCTTCAGATGTCAACCTCTTGAACCACCTTCTTCCAAGCTAAGACCGCAGCGCAAGCCAGAAGAGTGTTTATGAGAAGGAGTCCTAGGTTGAATTCGAGTAGGATTTGTGAAGGCGTTGAATATTGCCCATGGCTGGACGGGTAATCAATCCCTCTACGAGAACTCCGACACTTTCTTGTAATGATATACAGCGAGAGGCTAGCTAACGAGACGTGACTAATACTTTTTTAACTTCATGATTTCCCCTAATTTATCATCACGGATATGTTTTGATTCTTCCAATGCAGCTTGCAGGTACAGGGCCAGGTCCGGAAACGTGATGGGTAATGTCGGGTACGGAAGTTTATCTGTGGCTGGGATGGTATATGGTTTAAAATATCCAGGTCGAGCCAGTAGGGCCGGTATCGGGGATTGCGTGTAAGACCATGGCAATATATTCGGATTGGAAGAATTGTACTGCACTCCATCAGGTATATTGGGTGGAACAGGCTGATCGATAGTGAACCAAAGGATCGTCTCACGGCTTCCGTATCGTGTTAACTGGGGAGCGTGTAAGAGAGTCGTTAGAGGCAAAACAACCTCGCTTACGTTTGTAAACTGAATTACAGTGCGAAGCTTTAGATATTTCCGTGACGTTGACTCCAATCTTGATGTGCTTGATTGGGCCAACAGACGGCAAAAACGCAACCAGCTCGGAGCTCGAATGTGCAGAGGGAGGCTCTGCCTACTGGCAAAAGGCAGCAAAATAATGTTAGGAAATGCGTCCATCTCAGAATTGACTGCATTTGACATAGAATCATAGGCTTCATCTTCATCCTCCAAGTATGTGGGAGGGGTAAAACCAATCGCTATGGAAGAGATCAGAAAAGCGCCCCTTGCAAAGAATGAGGAATGAACACATACAAACACCAACAAAATCATGATGATCGACGGGCGAGGCAAAGGAAGTTCCAGTGCTTTGGCTGCCGTCGTTCTGTGCCTCGGAAGGTGCAGTCACTGTGGCAGATTTACCTTTCACCACGGGAGATGTGCTTGCATGAAATTGGGGAGAAGCAGGCGCCTGAGCCACAGCAATGGACGTGGTGCCACTTCGCAGAGGAACTACAACGGAAGGGCCAGCAAATGACACTTTTTTTTTAGGAATTGATGATTCAGGTTGCGTGTTGATACCTACAACGCAGTCAGTGCAAATCAATGACATACTTGGGGTTCTACAATGAAACACCATGCTTACCATCCGGGGTGGCGCTTCTCTCCGACAAATACATAGCTCCTGACCAAACTGTGTTAGCTGTTTAGCTCCTGAATAAACAAAAATTCCAACCTTTGAAGTTCAAAATGGTGTCAAAAGTTGCTTGAACACGTCGCCACAGTTCTGGACCTGTGGCTATCCTGTCCTCGTTCTATCAAGAGGTGTGTCGATTGCTTAAATTTAGAGAAATCGTTATAAAACCACTGCCATACCTCCCCAATAACAGCACCCCAATGATCGTCATGAACGATGGCAACATCGGCGCCGGGATGCTTAAGAATATTAGCAAGGCTAAGATGTCTCAAAGGATATGTATACCTTCCGCAGTAGCATTTCAGCAAGAAATGTTGAAGGGTGGATAACCTTCTCACGTTAATGAGATAAGAAGTTGTAAGTGGAACCCCAGCTTACAGCAGAAGGATTGTGCGAGTCGGACATCATTGCAGATCCTGTATTGCGAGAAGAGCCAAATATGCCTGCGATGCCGTGAGTGCTATGATTGACATTGCCCAGTTGCAAATACGTTGCCCGTTGCTTACTCAAATGTGAAAATGCACTCGTCAAAAAATTGGATGAATTTGTCGATTGAGGTTGGGCAGGCTTTGAAGCTCTTCGAGAATCCAATGCGGAGACGAGGCTGGATTGGACTCTTGCCCACTTTGCTTCAGACAGCATAATCGTGTGGGATCGAATAAAGGTACACTGGTTTCGGGCACCCACTCCATTACTAGGCTCAAACTCGAATTCGGGCCCAGCCTTCGCATCTGCAGTGCCTTCATGTTCCCAACAGTATGTGGTACCAGGGACATAATCACCGGCATCGTTCGCGTTTCTGAATCTCAGCACGGGTCCGCCGAGGCTGCCTGAAGAGTTGGTCTCGGATTGGGTATTTTGATATGCCGCTAATCCCCATGACGTTGTTTTGTCGCAGCCGGTAATAAGGTGAAGCTTGCCGTTCTCAAGCTCCCATCCACAAGGACCGTTGATGAACCGATACCAACTCTCGGCATTTTCGGCAGCGAAGTCGCGAAACAGAGTGGTACTTCTCAAATCCTCGCGAAAGGCCCCGTCTGGCATAGTAAGAATGGCTCCCTCAGCGTTGGAACATTGAAAGGAAAGGTTGTCACTACTCCGTTGGTCAGCCAATAAACGATATTTGCCAAACACATTGAACCTAACCGGAGCTTTTTGACAGAGGCACTGGCGATGTAACTGCCTGATGTATACTCTTGAAAAAGGTGGATATCATTTGCCTTCAGATTCAAGGGGGTAAAGCCATCTGGTAGCTCATCTGGATTGTCAGGGCGGCCAGCAGCTTTGCAGATATTGAACAGGACATCAAAAGCCCCATACGCCGTGACCCTTCCTAGATCTCCAATAATAACACCGTTTCGTCGGTGCATCAAGGGTGCGAGAAGGTTTGGTTGAGGAATCCACAGAGGAAAACCACGTTTCTTGGGCAACATTTGGCGCTCGTAAATTGCATTACTGCAGTCTTCCAGTACTATACACTCTTCATCTTCCCCATCGGAGAACTGAGAGGTCGTAAACATAGCGGCAGGGAGTCAGGGACGTATGTTTTTCGACTCACGTCTGGAGAATCGCTGTCATCTGGCCAGAGAAGTCAGATGACATTGTTGTAACGAAAGGGAAGTGCGCACCCACGCTCGGTGTCCTATCTCTACTGAGATTCCGCTGGCCTTGATGGGTAGATGACTAAATTGATTTGTAGAGGCCTTTAGCGGGAAACGGGTTGTCCTTTACATAAACTACTCACCGACTCATGCCAGTCGTCCCTGTGTCGTTGCAGACCTTGATCTAAGTACCAGTTATTGAATCAGAAACGGAATTCCGAAGATAAAGTCTTACGAATGTTGATTATGATGCGATTATGGTCGCCTCCAGAACTACTGAACTCTCCACCAGAGATAACGGGCAGCGAGGCCCCGTGAAGAATCGACGACCTGTTGTTGAGATACACACTTAGCGGCGATTGCTCGGGAGGTTCTTAATGACATACATACCCAACGTTCACCGTATTTGCTTGTGCTGGTAAGTCCCCTTCCATTTGAGCCAAGAAGTCCCCGGTTTGCGCCTGCTCCTCGAAGTTCAGGTTGACTCCTTTGTTAGAGTTTAGGCGCCAGGTTGAACAGCTTCGCCATAGCCATTTCCCACACGTGCACTGCCAAATGACGTCTGGCGCTTGTGTCCTGGGCGGTTTGCGAGTTGCTTATCACCAATAAAAGTGCCATATGCATAATGCTGGTTTGATGAGCGAGCAGAAGAGCATTATGATAAACGAGTTGAGTCAACTTGCAAGTTACACCAGCAACTCGGTAAAATGACGCCTATCCCATGATTGCGAAAAAGGGATAAGCAACACCTGCCAAATTAAAGAATGACCTAAAGATCCTTCAATAAATCTGATGATAGAAGTTCCTGCGCTGCTCGCGCCTCCCTCTCAAACCACAACCGCGTTTTCTTCTTGAATTCCGGACTTCTCAGTTCATCTTGATTCTTCCGTAATCCTCTCCCAACCAATGAGGTCTGGAGGTATTACCCCCTCTTGCCCTTCAAAATCACGGATGTCTATCCCTATTTTAAGGAATGTCGTTTTCATCTGAGCACCGGACCACGAGTGTTGGGAGAGTGGAGGCATGTTAAAGAGGGCGGTCATTGAGAGTATTGTCATTCATGAAAGCCCGGTAAGTACTAGACAAATGCCCGATTCCCACGTCGCATGATTGTCCCTCACCCTACAGGAAGTGTTAATGTCCATAAAGAATGGCAGTCCAACTGCAGAATTGAGACTCACATCAGCCAGGTGGTCATACAGCGTTACCGATGTGCTCAGCTTTCAACCGATAAGCACATGAACGTCATTTTCGAGCGGTGTCTGGTCGACCTCAACTTGTGGTAGAGGTTCTGAAGGAATGAAGAGGAGGGGAACGTTGGGTTCCTTGCCCCACTTGAGGTGCTGGTAGAGAGTCCGGCGCAAGGCTTCGATGCGTTCCGGTGGGTTGACGGTGTGAAGATCATTGGGTACTGGAATATCACGTGCTTGAGCAAGTGCAACAAGCGCCTCCATGGCCATACTTTCAGGTTGGGCAGAATAGAGCAAATGAGGGGAAGGAACGGTAGCAGGATTGGTGGTCTTTCCTAAGACGTCGTGAAGGAGCCTCAGCCTTGAACGATATCTGAGCTTGGGTGAGATTTCTCTCAGGCAAGGCTCTAAAAGCCGATCTACACGCCTCAACGCTCTCTGGAAATGCAAGCAAGGCCTGTGTCGTAAGCGTAGGTCAGCCGCCTCGCCCGCCCGAGGAAAGGTGTATCTTGAGATACTGACAGAGCATGCACGGTAGCCCCTGTATACGTGGATGGCACCTCCCATTCTGAGCCATGCCCTGAAATAGTTGGGATCGAGTCGATTCGCGTGTTACCAATCTCCTTAGTAGGACATATTATGGGAGACTCCACTCGATTGGCCTTTTCAGTATCGTTGATAAATCGTGGATGACTTTTTGATACCTTCGTCGGAAAAAGGGTCAGTATTGGTCGGGCAAAGTAATTAAACATACCTCTCCAAGACCCAATTGCAAGCTACTCGGTTTGCGTAGAGACTGGCGTTCTGTGGATCAAGTAATATAGCCTCAGCCACGTCAAAATTCATTTCCTCCGAAGAGTGCGTTGCCCTCCTCTTGCAAATGTAGAGCCTTCTTCCGCTCTGTTGGCATGTTGTGGACGAGGGTTGGAGGATGGATTGCATTATTGTATAGCACTGGTTGGTCTTCAACCGGTTTTGTCTCATCCCAGCGGAAGGTTAACATAGCGATGGTAGCCAAAGACATTCATCGACGTCGATGAAGGTGGTGAGGGAATTTGAAGTTGAGCTCGGTGGCAATAAACCTTGAGCTTGCGCACCTCAACCCCTCCCCGGATATGTCACGTGACTTACCACTTCGAACCTTGAACGCCATCTTTTTAGTACTCCGTCTCGCTCAGACCACGATGTGATCATGGTTGGCATAATATTACAGTATTCCAATAAATAAAAATGTAATTTAGGCAGAATTTTCTTTTTTTTTGTGTACACATATGTAGTCATCTATATACTAGTTACATTCACGATCTTAGGCATTATATTGCTATCAGCTCAAATATGTATGCATGTCCTTATGGCCTACAGTCATCCACCGGCTAATGAGACACCGAAATTGGAAAATTAACTTCAACAAATTTAAGCACAACCTTTCACTACAAAAACTACATGAAAATCTGAGATAAATACCCTTTTATAACTGTGCCAAGTTTCAGAATGTTTGAACAACCTTTCGTGAAGAAAAACTAATATTATGGGTGTCTCAATGAGTGGTGTGACTGTATTTCGGCTACTTCCGAAAAACGGTCCATTTTGAAAACTCCACAGCATTGTCAATATTGCCTTGACTGCATCCAAAATTTGTAGACTGGTAGATATGAGCTTTTACTACATGTTAAAATTTGTTTTGTAAAAATTGGTGTAGTATTGAGTGAGATATTAGGTAGGCAAAAGTGTCTCAAATGATGGTGGTGTCTCATTGGCTGGTGGATGACTGTAGGTGGTCGAGCTCTGTATCGTGGGAACAGCAATTGCTCAAGGTGTGTGGTTCGACTCCCGTAGTAAGATTATTTTTTGCATTGGTTTTTGGCTCAAAAAGTCCGTAACCTGGATTATGGTGCGTTCCGACAGTCATTTTTTCAATGCCAAGTGGGTTAGTTTCTGGTAAGTTTGCTGCCATTATTTATGAAAGTTCGAGCCAAATCAGGATAACCGTGAAGCCATTTTTTTCATATGTCCAATAAATAGGCTGTGTTCTGTTTATTTTCTCCCCCTCAATATATATATCAAATATGTAAAGAAACGTAGAAAATGTGCGAAGTCGAACGTTGATCTTGGAATATAAGATATGATAATGTCACGTGACGTGTCCGGGGAAGGGGTTGAGGTGCGCAAGCTCTCGGTGGCAATAAACCTTGATTCAATTCGCGTCAAATTCGCGTTTCCAAAAAATGTGCAAATCCAACAAGCGCCTTTCGTTCTCGGCGCTCAGCGCTCAGCCTTCATAGACGGCCGGCAAGCACAGTTTTGAAGGCCCCATATTGAGGGTGGAACGGTGCCAGCGGTTTAATGTCATGTTCGCCAACGCATCCCAGATTGTGGTGGGAGATAGCATGTTCAACGACATTCATGGAGATTTACACCTGAACCGGGTTTCTAGAGGCTTGTCAGGTATGTCATTTACACTCAATCGTTACCTCGTATTTTCTTACGGATTGCAATTAGGTCTACAGATTCTTAACCAAGCCATTGTCAACGGCGCCAGGCATAACTCTTCTGAGAGGTTCCCACCTCCAAAATGCCATCCTCAAACCCGACGTGCGATTATCGCCGATATATCGAGTTGGATCATGGATTCAAACCGTGATACAGACATCTTGTGGCTAAATGGGCCTGCAGGAGCAGGAAAGTCTTCCATCGCACAGACCATCGCTGAGAGGTGTACTGAAAGCGGTCATCTCGCTGCAAGCTTCTTCTTCTCTCGAACTTCTCCAGTTCGCAACAGCGCGCGCCAGATCTTCGCAACCATTGCCTATCAGCTGGCCATTGCCTTCCCACCTCTAAAACAAGTTATTGAGGAGCTGGTGGAGGATGACCCTTCGATTGTTAACAAATCCATGGATCTACAATTCTCGCAATTAATCCTGGAACCAATGCAACTTGTCAAACAATCCGAGCCAAAGGTCGTAATAATTGATGGCCTTGATGAATGTGAAGACTCGGACATCCAAGCCTATATCATTCAGCTCATTGGGCGAGCATGCGACCAAAGACTACCAGTCTGCTTCTTTATTGCGAGCCGACCAGAACCTCACATTCAAGATGTATTTGACGCTCCTTTCATTCGACATCATTGTCGCCGTTTAGTTCTCGACGAGTCCTTCAGCCCGGATTACGACATCCGTGTGTTTCTTGAGTCCAGTTTTTCCGAAATCCGTGACAAGCATCGACGAATCATGCAGTCAGTTCCGACGACCTGGCCTTCTCATGCTGATATTAGGACTCTGGTGGAGCGATCGTCGGGACAATTTATCTATGCAGCGACCGTTGTCAAGTTTGTTGGCGAACGAGGTCATCGTCCGACAGAACGGCTAAAGATCGTCCTAGACATGTCACCACAAGCCGAAGCCTCTGGTGCATTCGACGAGTTGGACCGTCTGTATTACCAAATTCTTTCCTTCTCAGCTGATATAGCCCTGACACTTCGTGTCTTGAGCGCGCGGGCGGCGTTGCCTTCCACTTTATCTTGCGGCGTCTCATTTCTCGAGGATCTTCTCCTTCTTCAACGAGGGGATGTATACCTTGCTTTGAGCTCCCTTCACTCCCTTCTCAGGGTCCCAGATCTTGAACAACTTCACCAGGACGTCGCATTTTACCACAAGTCTTTTTTTGATTTTCTATTTGACCGTCAGCGGTCAAAGGTTTTTTTCATTGACATCAGCGCCTCTCACGCTGTCCTTTCAAGGTGCTGTCTGCGTACCTTAACAAACACTTTGAATGATGGCCAAACAGGTACCAAAACGATGCTGCCCACCATTGTATCCTATGCTTACTGCCACTGGTGCTTTCACTGTACACAAGCCAACCCAGATTCTGAGTTGCTTGAGGATCTTCATAGAGTGGACATTCTTGGTCTGGATTCCAGACGGATTTTTCCCAAGGCAGCAGTTACATTTACGTTGGATTTCCCGGGAGTAGTAGACTGGTTAACCACTGACGTGAGTAACCTCAACGACCTTTTTCACGGATCTCACGCCAGGCTGTCTTCAGTCATCGCTGAAAGCCAAAGCGATTCATCAAACATGGTCCAGTAGACTAGATGTATACTTCACCGAATGCCTCGACAGGTCCACCCATCAGGACCATCTGTCTTTCATGCTTGGTCTATGGCTGCTCAAACTTCATCAACCTAGATCTTTCCCACCGAGGAAGGCGTTTCTCGATCCTCAGTTTGGGTCTTCACTATGCCCCCTCCAAAAGGGCTTCTTTGCTAGCCAGATTTTCCTTGAGTACTTGCGAGATCCTCTCCGATCGGGGAAATACAATATCAATCCTGCTATTTATGCGCGGATAACATGTCGCGTCTTGGAAATCCTCAACACAAACCCACCTTGTTTTGGAAACCCGATTTTCCTCAATACCTTTGAAGAATGGATGTCATGTCTGACCCAGTCCGCCCCCACCTCGGAACTTCTGAGCGCTCTCCGACTGAAACCCGCGAACGCATGGGTAACTTATTTGCTCACCAAAGGGAACAATTTTCAGGTCGTCCTTAACTGGCTGGAGGTTTGTGAAAGACGTCCAATCTCCAATATTGACTCTAACTCTCATCCAGAAAATTGACCCTCCTCCACTTGACATGATTCAACATTGGCGAGATCTCCGACAAACGAAGGGGACCGAGTTTAACTTCTTTGCCTGAAGCATAGTAGATATGTGCTACTAACCGAAAGCGTTCACCCACTACGTCTGCGGGATGTAGGAAGGAAGCCCGCTTGTCGCTCTGCATGCGTCCGAATGACCATGTATCTATGGTACGTCGTTTCTACAAACCACAGGGACTCCGCGATAACAATCGCCGTCCTACAGTGGCAGAGCCGAAGTCAATGGTACGGTATGAGATAGGTGAAGGGTTGAATCGGTATTCAGGCACATGGTTGAGTTGAGTACAGCAGTGGTTCCAATGTGGTTGACCCGCTTGAAGTTAGGTCCCGCTTCTCAACGGCCATCCCTTATGACTACAAGGTGCCTATTAGAACGTACGGATGATGCAAGGACGATGGAGGGAGACCCTTCATCACATGATCCAACTTATCCAGCGCTTCAATAGCTGTTGGCCGCTTTGCGGGATCGGCATTCCGTAACGATTGCAGAATGTCGTCAATTTCTAGAATTGATGACTGTTGAGCAAATTTGGGACGACCTTCAGTATCCGATCCACACTGAATAAAAGTCGGGGGGTACCTTAAAAAAGGCAAGTCCCTTTCCCAATTGCCAAATGTCCAAACGAAAAGGACAGTAGGATAGTTCTTTTTCAAGTAGTTCTGGTGCGGGTGTTTGTCCATATACATCAAATGACACTGGGAAATCTGTTAATAGACGATCCTCAGGCAAAGAATCCGCCGGAAAGTCAACTGCGAATTCGGAATCGGTGGGGTAGACTCGAGGTCGCGTTGTCGGTCGCCTAGTCGACCCGGCAATGAGCGTGTGTGGAACCCACTCTACCAAAAAGTTGTTGAGAAATACGTCCTACGTTAGAAAAATATGTAAGTATCCGAGACGGAAGACGCAAGGGAACTTCACGCGATGTGCAATTCCAAGGCCATGTATAAACGAGAGGGCCTGGAATAATCTGTGAGCAGATTTTCACTCAGCTAATTGGGTATAGACAGACCTCGAGAGCCTGTAAAATCAGGTACATAATGTCCTCCACAGAGTTGGCGAAAAGACTCGTCATCGCTAATCTCCTATTCCATCCAAGCATTGGGTATATTCCCAGAAGTACATCTTCATAAAGTATTTCATATTCCATTGGGAGGATATGGTTGTTGCTGAGCACCAGATTTGATTTGGTCGACAGCTTTCGAATAATGCGAAGGTGATCATGGCCCTCCCCCCGAGCCGTGATGACACGAACTACAAAATCCCGCCCATCTATGTGACGTAGGGCAAATAAACGGCCGTTCTAAAAGCCTTGAATAATAGCTGTTTCATTGCATTAAAGACTTACCATCACGTTGAATATTTCCCATTGCGTGGCGGCCAGAGATGGATTCAAAAAGGACCAATAAGCATAACCACTTGGACCAGGAGTCACCTCGTCTTCAAGTGGTGGGGCGAGAATCAAACACGAGCGTTTTCGCCAGAGTCGGAAGCCTGCTTGTTCGAAGAGCTCTTTAAACTGAAACCAAACATCCGAATAAGCAGTGAGGCCTTCGTCTTCATCGTCGTATATTTTGCGCCATTCGTCGATCGTTTGAGGAATCTGTCCAAAATAAACATGGGGTGAAATGCTCTACAAGGGACCTACCTTCTCTCGACAGATTTCGTAAACCATGCGAAATAGTATAGATTCGGAAATATTTACGGTTCAAACGGCGGTGAGGGGTTGAGTTCGGGAAGGCTGTTGCCAACATGATCATGTGTGCTTGATGTGTGCGGTCCTGCATAGGTTTCTCGGCATTCGAGATAAGATGCTGAGTCATCCATTAGCAACGTTACTCTCCCTCCTCCAACGTACATATTAAATGTCTCTCCCCAAGGTGTGCCTCTGTTCTTTTCCTACCTCTCTATTGTCCTAGAGCTGATCTTTACCCATCGTACCCAGCGGATTATCAAGGTATGCATCTGACGCTCTCGTGTCGTTGTTCCACCGCCTTTGCCGCGATTACCTAAACCCACCGTCGCGTGCTCACACTTAGGAAACCGAACGCCTCGTTGCAGACCCCGCTCCAGGAATCGCTGCCCAGCCTCATGACGACAACCTGCGCTATTTCGATGTGACCATTGAGGGGCCTGATGGGAGTCCGTTCCAGCGTGAGCCCTTCGTTCTTTTCACAGTTTTCGTGCCACTCACAAGCGATGAAGGAGGTATATTCAAGTTGGAATTGTTCTTGCCTGAAGAATACCCAATGGCACCGCCAAAGGTGAGGTTCCTCACCAAGATCTATCACCCGAACATCGGTGAGCCGTCCCCGCATCTCATCCATCATATCGTTTCTCATCTCCCGTCAAGACAAGCTCGGACGGATATGCTTGGATATTTTGAAAGGTGCGTGACTCTTCGTCTCCCCAACGCCCACTCTGACCCTTGTGCACAGATAAATGGTCGCCGGCGCTACAGATCAGAACCGTGCTGTTGTCCATACAGGCGCTACTAAGCGCCCCGAATCCCGATGACCCCCTTGCTACGGACGTGGCGAAGCATTACAAGGAGAACGAGAAGGACGCGCAGAGGGTCAGCCAGGAGTGGACCCAGAAGTATGCCAACCTTGATTAGGCACTTATGTTCTTTTATGGATTGCAGAGGAAGTAACAAGTAGCCCGTTCCATTTACCCAATGTCATGTCGTTCTGTCTTATGAACGTCTCCCCGGTCCCGGTGCATTGGCTGTGAGATTAGGTGAGCGGAGTGCGCTACTGGCGGTGCCGGGTATCTCACTGGTGAGTCGTTGACAATGTCTTTTTACGATTTTGGATCTGATCCCAGGACGCAGGCACTTGAATTTTGGCTCGAGAGACTGCCCACTAACCTTCATGGGTCTTTGATGTATACTTTATGAAAGACTCACTTTAGTGCCGACCATTATGAAGACTGGTTCTCCAAACGACTCTAGCGGAGCCATGGATGACCTCCAAGCGAAACCTCGCGCTATAAGCAAAGCTAACCTTCAGGGTGCCGGTGGCGCCGAGTATCTTATTGGTGAGCTCTTTGCAACATCCTTTCATTGATTTTAATCTCTGAACACCTTACCCAGCCTTACCCGCGCAGGCCCTTTTACTTTGGGCTTGGCTTGAGATCGGGGGTTCCTCGCCAACCGGCGGAAACCCCTCGATTGTAGTCAATGTTTGCTTTGTTGCTTCGAGACTCAGATTACTGCGCGTCCTCCTTATCAAGGCTCTAGCACAGCTTGAGTGGTGAGTACGTAGCGGCATCCTCTCCCCGGTCTTTACCCACTGAACATGTTACCCCCCGCAGGCCCCCAGAGTAGAGTTTTGGGTCGGGGTTCGTTCACCAGACCGGGTAAACCTTCCCTGAGTGGGGTCAGCTTCTCACCGTTTTGTGATGAATTTCCGCTGTGATAGGAAGCCGTTCACCTTACTCAAGGGTGGGTCAACATCATGTTTCGCAAAAGTTCTTGTTCACATAATCGGTTAAGCGGCAGTTTTGCACTGATCCTAATCGTTGAACACCTTACCAGCGCAGGTCTTTATGAATTGAAGTTCGTCCTCCAATTGGCGGGCAACACCCAACAGCCGTGGATGTAGTTGGCCTATTAATGTCTCCTTCGCGGGATGATTTTGAAAATTCATTCTTCTCGATTCCTTCAGCTCTTTACCTTCAGTTTCTCATTCAAATCGTAACTTGCTTCAATAGTGCCCGGATCTTGATGAGTTACGTTGTATGTCCCCCCTCCTGACTCATTTCAGCCCTCCTTTCTCCGATGATGACCATGTCGCCAAGTTCCTGTAACTTGTGTAAGGCTGTACCCACTCTTCGCATAGCCTTTGTCGGGAAACGATGCCGATAAAGAGTCTATTTCTGAACCTGAATGTTACATAACCGAGGGTGCAAAGTATTCTTGGTACTCACCTTCTTTACCTCGTGGTATCGAACCCCAGAAATGCCAAAAAAACCGGGGTCGAATCGACATCGCTTCTCCTCTCTATCGCCCTATACTTAAGGCAGCAGTTACGCCTCTACGCGACGCTCAGATACCACGACGATGTCCCCCCATCTTGACCCAGATACTTTGTTCGCTGTCATCAATGAGGTGGCGTTGTTTCGCGATTGGGATACCCTCCTTAGCTTTTCGTCAACTTGCAGTGCGATTCGGAGCGCCTGGCTGCCCCATATCTTTGCAGACGTGAGGTGGCCGCATGCGAGCAAGCATAACGATGCGGACGGGCTTGAGTTTTTCCCAGAGTCTTTGTGGAAGCATTTCAGGCGAGTTCTTTGTCTCTTGTCATCGTGAGCAGTGATCAACTCATCTCAATAACAGACGTTTGTCGCTTATATGGCCTGACCACTGGCCCGAATCCTCGCCGCCCCTATGGGGTGACAAGTACTACGTCGGGGGAGACTATCACCCTCGACATCTGGACAAACTCGTGTCCGCACTCTCCCGCATGTCCGCTCTAACGAGCTTCTACGCAAACTGCCCCTTCTACCCCCCATCCTCCGTTCTAAACGCCCTCATTCGATGCCCTTCTATCCGCGAAATCTCTGTAGCCGATACCCCGCTCTATGTCACTATGATACCCAACATCCCAGCCGACTGCAAACTTGAGACTATCTCAATCGTCCCTGTGGCTGAAGCTCTGCGTGTCGGAGAAGGCCCGTACGATCCTAAATACCATGAAGTGACGTATTATATCCGGGAGTACAGGAAGAAATACAAGAATGATATTCTGGCGAGGTTCGCCGCTACTGCGATTCTATTCCGCGTGGGCCAGGCGAGCTCGTTGAGGTGTGTGCAGGTCTCTGGGGACTTGTGCACGCTGGACGAACTGGCTGAACACGATTGGCCGAATTTGGATACCCTGATATTGACGGGCCATGCCCCGCGGCTGCATAGCACCACCACTGAATTGGTGGATGTGTTGGTGAAGATGCCCAAGTTGACCGAGCTGCGGTTGTTGTTTGCTACCACAAAAGGGGATGCAAGTTTTAGAGTTGTTCCGCAGCAAGTGTCGGCGAAGAATAACGATGCCAGTGTGTTCAAGCAGCTGAAGCACCTCGCGTTGTCGAATGCCTGCAAACTTTCAGGAGTGTTTCGTTATACGGCTGCGTTGGAGCGCCTGGCTGTGTGTGCGATTATTGATCATCCGTGGGTCCCCATTGCGCTCAGTCGGAGTGATGTGGATGGGATGTTGAAGGACATGGCGGTGGGGTGTGAGACGAGCAAGCTGAAGAGGCTGAGGATCATGGTGGAGGATAAAGTCAGTCCGGAACTGTGTCGTGATATCTGCATACAGTGTCCGGTCCTCGAGGCACTGGAGGTAGAAATTTGCGGGTATCATGATGGAAAACCTGTCTTTGCTTGGGTGAGTCTAACATCTCCCCCCACCTCACCTTGTTCACCTTTCTCAATGTTTTTCTGCAGAGCGAATTTTCCGGAGCCTTTTCAACACTCGCCCATATCCGCCACCTCAGGATATGTATCCAGTTCCCCGAGTTTGACGAAACGGACGTCTCGGAGCCGTGGCGGTCTGCACGCAAAGAATGTGCGGTGTACCTCGCGTCGCAGATGCCTACCCTCCAGCGTGTTGGGTTCGAGTACCGCAAACGCACTGGAACGCATCGCTACGAAGATGGTTGGTTGGAGTGGGACGTTGTCAGAGGCGGCAGGGAGGGCTTGCAGCTGTTCGAGCTTACGGGGAGCTGGTATCCGTTTCCTGAGGTGTGGTTTCCTGTTTCTCTCCCGGTGTAAAGGGGTTTTGGGGCGCTCTTCATCTGTTTCTTTCGGGTTATCATGGGACGTGTATTATTTTACCTGCTTTCGGAGTGTATGTATTTACACATGTGTACGCGTCTTGCTAGCTTCGACATCTGATTCTCTTCTGACGTGTTCCACCACAACGACGACGGCAATGGTTTCACTGACGGTACTCTCTGCGTCAAAGCCCCCTTCCTTTGCGCGTGGTTTCCCTCTGACTATCGAGGTCACGCCTGAAGCCACAGTAGCGGATGTCAAGGCTTCAATAGCCGCAAAGTTCCCAAAGGTTCGTGTCTGTCTCGGTTCGTGCGCACATACAGACCAGTGTGCCTTTCTTCACGCTATTTTTCCTTGCGGATCGTACCTCCTGTCCATCACAATCAACAGTTCAGCACATCACGCCAAAGAATTTCCGTCAAGGATGACAAAAAGCCGCTTGAGGATGAAACAAAGCTGGCAGACGTGCTGGGCGAGCAATTGCGTGGTGGTGAACTTCAAGTGAAGGATCTTGGGCCTCAGATCAGCTGGAGGACGGTGTTCTTGGTGGAATACGTGCGTTTACTGTTGTTGGATTTTGAGCACTGCTAAATCTTCGGGATTGAATAGGCCGGGCCGCTCCTCATTCATCCGTTGTTCTATCACTTGCCTCAAGTATTCTATGGCAAGGAGGTTCAACATAGCGCTTTGCAGAAGTAAGCGTGATCATGCTTTGTGTGTGTGGGATCTGACACGTTTGGTTCACAGATATGTTTATGCTTTTGTTATGCTTCATTTTATAAAACGTGAACTGGAAACGATATTGTGCGTGCTCCTTAACGTCAATGGCGACGACTTATAGATGATGTGGAATAGTGTGCACCGATTCTCGCATGGCACGATGCCGCTGCTCAATATCTTCAAAAAGTGAGTTTGTGCTTTTTACCTGCTATATTTTCGAAGATGCTCATGCTATTCCCTCTTATTCAGCTCAGCCCACTATCACATCTTTAGTGGTAAGCCAGTTTGTTGCTACGAAACACGAGCGTCATACCAAGATCATCTCCATAGGCCTCTTCCTCGCTTTGGACGTCTACCGATCCAAGTTCTCCGCCACCTCACCCTACATCGTCGGCACATACCGCGACAATGAAAAGTTTTTATGGGTCTCTGCCGGAATATGGGCCGTGCGTATTCTCTCCGCCTTTCTTCTTCCTCTTCATTGACATCCACCTTGGGCCCAGTTCGCGGAAATCTCAAATCTTCACACACATCTGACGCTGCGCAATCTCCGCCCAGCAAACACGCGAAAGAGGGCTATACCCTACGGTTATGGCTTCTCCCTGGTCTCGTGCCCCAATTATTTCTTTGAGGCTGTTGCATGGGGTGTTATCTGCGTGATGACTGGGAGTGTTGCCGGTACGTCGTTTGCTGTGTGTTCTTTGTGAAACAGACTTACTAATGTCATTCCTAGCATTGGTGTTCACCGGCCTCGCTGTTGGACAGATGGCGCTTTGGGCTATCAAGAAACATAAGAATTATAAGAAAGACTTTGGGAAGGAGTATCCTCGCGGGAGGAAGGCCATGTTCCCCTTCGTTCTGTGACGTCCCTGTGGTGGCCTTTCTTTTGAGCCTTCGTATGTTTGCTGCCCAATACATACAATGTTTTCGATCCTTGATTCTTGTGATTCGGAATTGCCTTCGGAACTATTGATTCTCGACGATAGGCATACGTCCAAGTCGGGTCCTCTTTTCATTGTGGAAATTTTAAGCCCGGGTGATCTTATGAACCCCTACCATCATTGTGAATGTGCACGCCAGCTTGACGACAAAGTTCAATGACTAGGATTTGGAGGCACAATTTGTAGCAGGATTAAAGTGTGCTCCGAAGTTGAACGCTAAGTCTGAGTGGCGGAAGATGGTCCTCGTTGCGTCGAACAAGCAGTTGGCTGCGGGGAATTAAGGGAGGCCCGGGGGCACAGCTGCGCCTTCTTTGAAGGGAAAGCGTAGCCAGCATGAGCATGCCGGCCTCGTTCTCTGGGCTCTGAACATGCATAAAATATGCCAGAGAAAGTACAGTTGATTGATTCCATTGCGACCCATGCTCCTCGTAACATTTAAAGAGTTGAAACAAAAGTTAGGAGACTCGAACCGATTGGAGCATTGCCGCAACAGAATCTCTCAATGCCACTTCTTCCATCTTTCTCTCAAGGTGTAGCCAAGATCGTATCGGGCGGACCTCGTCTTTGTACTCCTTCAAAAGCTCATCAAAAAAATTCCCGGCACCACTCAGGTGAAAGACTTCGGCGATCGCAGCGTGGATGGCGAGGTAGTGAGGGTTCGGGAGAGGAATACTCTTGCCGCTAGACCCAGCGATGAAGTCGCCACTGTGGTCTTTGAAGGTGACGATCATGTTCTCATGCTTGCGTGACAAACCGATGCGTTGTAAAATTCTGAGAGTGTATACATTATTTGTCTGGAATTTTGATGAGATATGTACTACCTGAAAGCAGATTGAAAACCATAAGCCTGCCAGTGACTGATGATGGCGCTTCCCTCATTTAATACATGTCTCGTAAAACTTCTTAGATATTTGATGTATTATATGCAAATTATATGTGTTTCTTACAGCCGATTTCATATCTATGCGGAATCCCCAAAAAAAAAATTGAGCCCAGGACCCCAGAACCAAATGACATAATGTTTTCACATCCGCAATTCCTAACATGCCTCTAAGTTCCGTTTGAGTTCAGTTCTTTCGACCAGAGTCCAGGATGCTCCCTAGAACTGTATCCCGAGATCTCAAAGCTCGTATTCCGGTCCTCTATTACGAGCAGAACTTTACCATCAAAGAAATCTGTGGACTTCTAGGCATCAAAAAGTCTCTCGCATACAAAACGCTCTCGTACTCCTCAACCTATGGAGTTCCCTATAATCCTCATGCTCGCATGGGGGGTCGTCGCCGGATTCTCAACAGAGAAGACGTAAAGTTTGTTGTGTCCCTGATCGAACGCCGCCACTGCATCTATCTCGACGAGATTCAAGAGGAACTCTACCTACATCGCGGCTGTCGCCCCTCCATCCCAACTTTGGTTCGCACACTACGAAGGCTCGACTTCTCTCGAAAATGTGTCTCAATCCGCGCCCTCGAGAGAAATGACATCATGCGTGCTGCCTTCATGAATACCATTGCCGAAGAAGTTCCACGACCTGACATGCTCATGTTTTTAGACGAGGCTGCACGCAATCGAAAGACATCTGGTAGGACACGGGGTTGGGCTTTGGTTGGAAGAAGATGTGTGCAAAGAAGGTTTTTTGTCCGAGGACAGCGGTACTCGATCCTCCCAGTTCTCACCATGGATGGAATCATTACATACGATGTCATTCCAGGCTCCGTCACTTCCGCACGCTTCGTTGAATTTCTCAGGGAGCTGGTCATTCCGCTTACAAACCCATACCCCGGTCCTCGAAGTGTCCTCGTTCTGGACAATTGTAGCATTCATCATTCGGAGGAGGTCCGGGCACTTGTCGAGGACGAAGCCCAGTGCAAGCTTATCTTTTTGCCGCCTTACTCCCCAGATCTGAATCCCATCGAACAAGCTTTTTCGTGTATCAAAGCTTACCTTCGTCGTTCCTGGCAAGACTTTTCTCTCTCCATCATAGATCGTGCTTGTCAACATGTCACGTCAAACATGGCTTGGGGTTTTTTCAAGGCTTCGGGGTATGTGGTCTGAACATTTTGTATAGACCTTAGGTTCAAGTAGTACAATTCAGGGATCTGGTACTGTACAAATACATCAATGGCTGCTACAATAATCACGAAAGTAATCGAGAGGTCAAAGTACAAATTATACAACCATTGAGAAAAGAGAGTGCGATACAGACTGTAAACCTAATGAGAGGGCCATAAACCATTGTCTTCTTCACCATCAAGAATCGGAACCAGACCACGCGGAAGCGGAAGGGTCATCTTCAAGTCCTTTGAATAGAAGTACCAAGTAAAATCGGCATTAGGGTCGACATCGCCTTCCATGGTGCCAGGTCCGAATAGCGTCCAAGATCCGCCTTCGACGTAACGCTTCTCAAACCGCATTTTCTTGTTTGGAGGGGTTTCCTGTAGCTTCTCGGCTGGGCTACCTTCAAGCACTTCATGGCGACGCTTCAAAGCCTGTCCTGGTTCCGCTTTCCACCACAGCGGCGCAGCCTGTTTCAGTCGAAGAACATCTCCAGCAGGAATTCCGAGAGCGCATAAGGCTTTGTCGTCGATGAGATGAAGAATGTCGGGTCCATATCCTTCGCCGGCAAGTGCGTATTCATGGCGAGAAGCGTTCTTCACACCCGCTTCTTTCTCAGCATGGGTAAGGAATCGACCAAGCTGTGAGGGAGATGGCTTGAGGGTATGGTGGTTGTCAGGTTGGTTTTTCTTTGGTGTGCTTGGAAGAGGTGGATTGCCTGGGTGAACAAGAGATGTGATCGAGTTGATGATTCCTGAGAGGGCGGCGAGAGTTGATGTTTCAGACGGGACTTCAGTTCCAGTAGACCCGGAGCTTTCGGAGCGTTTTCGAGTGAGCAAGGAGGACTTTCTATTTGCTGGATCGAAGGTTTGAGTGTGTGGCGGATTGTCGATGTCAACACTCTTGTCCTTATCAACCTGAGACGACCGTTGATTAGCGTAGCGTGAATAAAAAAGGATATCAACCAACAAGAGCACGAGCCCACTCTTTCATCATGAATGGGGTGAGTGGAATCGAGACGCCGGTCGCGTCGATATAGGTATAGCCGCCATCGTGGTCGTTTTGATATTTCTTCTCGAGCTTTGCGCGTTCTTTTGCCAGATCATATTCTTCTTTTGAAAGCCCCGGGTTGTCCTGTGATAATCGTGTTAGCAATTCCAAGGACGAGGTTTGACGAAACTCAGCAATACATCGTCATCTCCGTCACAGGCCGCGCCCTCGTCGTCAGAACTCGATCCCCCTTCATTATCACCTGCTTTCTGTCAAAAAAACTATGAGTGTGTTGCCACCATAGATGCCGTAACACATCTTCTACTCACCACTCGTTTAGCCGACTTCTCGATGCTCGGCATTTCAACAAATATGACAACCGGTTTCCCCACCGGTGCAGAAAGGATCGTATTCTTGACTAGGTCTTGGTATTCCTCGTAGTTGACCACATCAGGAGCGTCGCCCTGCCTAGATATTGTAAAGTAGATTAGGAACTGATATTGTAAGGATAGAGTAAACGTACTTGGCCGGATGGACTTGTATCTTGCAAGGGTAGACATTGCGGGCAGTGACTTTGTACTTCTTATCGACATGGTGCTTCTCTAGGATCGCTGTTAGAAGTTCGAGATAGTTGTCTTTTGACTCAGAGAAGTTGTGGTTGAAAGTTTTCGCCTTGATATCCTTAGTTTGTTTCTTGCCTTTGCCGTTGTTGCCAGCTTTGTAGAATGTGAGGCGAGCGACAACGGAAAGTTCGATTTCAGTAGGTTCGGTACCACTATCAGGTGTATCTACCATGATGAGAAACTTGGTAGACATGACTGAATGGGTGTAAACGAGAACGATGAAGATGGAATACTTGATTCGGGGTCCCAGCCCTCAGCTGAAGCTAATAGGTACAAACAGCCAAAAAAAAATTTGGAATTCCGCATAGATTTGAAATCGGCTGTAATTAATTTTACTGTCGGGCTTCAGATCATGATGACTGGTACCGTTGGCGGCTGGGCTCAGGTCTGTATTTGGTAAGAGAAGTTGATTTCCGAGGGGTGTTTGGGGGAGCTGGCACCGCTTCTTCACGAATTTCCGAGTGCGTGACAAGGTGAAATGAAAGCTAATAACCGCTTGTAGGTACGGGATGACAGCGCCTTCTGGTTGTATGTTTTCCGCAAACGAATTTATACTAAACATCAGCTTAGGACCTCTTCTACCGTTGGCGGCTGGGCTCAGGTCTGTATTTGGTAAGAGAAGTTGATTTCCGAGGGGTGTTTGGGGGAGCTGGCACCGCTTCTTCACGAATTTCTGAGTGCGTGACAAGGTGAAATGAAAAGTAATAGCCGCTTGTAGGTATGGGGTGACAGCGCTTCTGGTTGTATGTTTTCCGCAAACAAACGGCAACTAGTTTCAGCTTACCTATTCTCTGAAAGTCATAACAAAACCTCCTTTATGTAACGTTGCTATGTAAGTATTTGAATATTTGGTAAGTCTGTAGGCAGAGACTTTCATCTGATTTCTGCGAAAAAAAAAAGGCGAAACAGGCACTTATTTCCTTGCATCAATTATACGCTCTACCACGCTATAAAATCTAAAGTGCAATATCTTATTGGAACACCATTTTGGAACATTTCGGCTACATAGCTTGCGTGGTAAGGACTTTAACACTAGAGATGACCTCAGATGAGTGGATTGAAGTGGTTCAATATATCTCCAAGTAGAGTCCAATGTTCATTCAAGGTCCCACAACTATAGGTCAGGTAGAAAGCATCTGGTGGTCATAAACATGGGCTCAAGCAGCAGCAGCTGTCGAGCTATCCATATTCCCGTTAGCACGGACTTCTATACATATTGCGGCAACGACTCAGCAGGCTTCACAATGAAATACCCCCTCATTCCCACCACCTTTTCTCCCTACCTACCAACCCCAAAGCCCGCTTTATTAAACGGCTTCTCAGCCTTACCCCCGGCCACATATTCGACACATACGAGGGCGGCGCACAGAAGCCATATTCAAAATGGGGTGAATATCAACGCCCCTTGCGTGTGTCGGCAGCGCACTCTTTGTGTGCTCCCTCCAGAATGTCACAGACCGTTTAGACTTGGTGCCTTCAAGTTTTTGAAATATAAGGCCCATAAGGACATTCAAGCACCCAATAGAGAAGCGGAAAAAGGGCAGAAACGAGGGTGAATGTGTCCGCGTGATGCAGAGGATCACAGCTCTCATCCTGTGTACAAAAGAAATGAATGTGAGCTTGTTTGCCAATAAAGGAGGAGAGGGGGGGGGAAACATACAGTATTTGGACGGCAGTCAGCACACTGAGACCAAAGTTCTTTCCAAGAACAGCAGAAGAAATTCACTGTGTCTTTGATGATGAAGAGACGACTAAGGAGTGCCCAAAAAGCGGCCCCCAGGTTGGCTGCTTCCCCTGCAAGACATCAATTATACAAACAAAGAGCATTACAAAACAATTACAAAAGAAACACACAAAATGTGATCAGAGTTCTTTGTGATTCGCATTGTGGCAGAGGGAAGAATGGTCGCTTCGAGTAAGCTCCCAATTTAGTGCGAGGATTACCGTTGGCGGCTGGGCTCAGGTCTATGTTTGGTATCAGAATGATGGCTTGTGGAAGCTTGTGGATGGTTCGCTCATTGATGGGGTCCCAGCTGCCTTCTTCAACGTGACCTGGCCTCAAATGTCGACCGGTTACCTTGTGCCACGAAACCCAAAATAACCGAACCGGACTGCTACTAACCGATATAATCGGTTAGTAACGGTTAGCGGTCGGTTACATGACTGGTCCTAACCGGTTATTTCTCTGTACTAACATAATTACAAACCTATATTATATTTCTAATACAAGCATTATGCTGCATGCACCAGCGAGGCGTGTGTAGGTGAAACACCGCCTCGCACGATTTTCATAAACAACCTCGCAGGTCGAGTACACCCGACCTGCGAGCGTTTCTCATGGATCGCCATTGTTGTATCAATGTCACATTATCACACATGTGACGACAGGAAAATAGTCACTTAAATTTCAATTCACCGTAAATATGTCAATTCTCCACTAAAAAATATGATTTTTGGATCGTTAGAAAGCGTTTAAACAGGGGAATATTTGTGTGTAACGTTAGGACACAAAGACCGGTTATAACCGGTCCTAACCGGTTTTTGTTTGGTCTTGAATATTTTGGGATGACACCTAACCACTAACCGGACCGCGGTTACGGTTAGGATCGGTTAGGTAATGTTTGCGGTCCTGATCGGTTACGGTTCGGTCCAGTCTCGGTTATTTTCCGGTTAACTAACCTAACTTCCAAACACTACACAAGATATCGTATGTTTTTCAGACATTACGTAAGACATATGAGGCCAGGTCACGTCGAAGATGGCAGCTGGGACCCCATCAATGAGCGAACCATCCACAAGCCATCATTCTGATACCAAACATAGATCTGAGCCCAGCCGCCAACGGTAGACTGGTGTACCAATTCTGGAACAATTCTCAGTACCGACAAAATGCCACCATAATTTGACCATAATTGAACTAATTACCATCTAACCACAATGTAACTTTGCGTCAGATGCAAATAATTTCTACTCACCCATCAATAACTTCAAGGTAATCTGAGGCAAGAGTTAGGAACCGTATCAAGATGGGGTAATATGAAGTACTAATGTGCTCAGAGCTCTAATTCACGGAAATTTGAGGTGATTTCACCAAATATTTCGATTCTTAGGGCAAATGTGGAGTTGGGGTTTTCCCTGATGCCCTCGTTCTCATAATATCAGCTTCAATCTTTGAGCCACATCAAAGCCGCATACACGTTAGTTGTTTCTTTCAACTGTCCCGGACAGATCTTCATAGCACCCTCTACTAGTGTAAATATGCCTTACGATACACTCACTATAATACAGTCGCATAAAACCCGAACAACTTGACTTTACAGAACTTACAGAAGATATACTAAGAACTAGTGAGTAGTAAATTTAAATGCCACATAAAAAGCAAAGATCAGCCATGACCAGGTTTGCCTCAAGTCGCCACGACCTTATCAATCTGGCAAGGGTGGGTCAATGAAGACATTGATGAAGCCTACATATACGACTGCAGTGCCGCCCGCCAAACATATGCCACCAATCCATGCAGTTTTTATACTCGTAATGTCACCAGGTACAAGTGCAATGACATTGTACGCATGGTCACGCAAATAAAAGACGCTGCTATTACAATAACAATTGTCAAAGAAGCTGCCGAACTGGAAGAGGCACGAGACGACTACCCAGAGCGAGTTGAAGGCGGCAATGAGCTTTCCGACGCAGCGGAATATAATTGAGGTCCTTCGAGCTGCTCTTGCGGGCCAATGACGGATGCCCTGGCCTTCAAAGTTGTATTGGGTCGTCGAGGCATAGTGCGTTAGGATGCTTGAAGTGACTAACAGCATCCAAACAATCGTGGAGAGGACAGCATAAAGGAGGTAAGATGCTGATCGGCAGCCGAGTCCTGTGAAAGTGATCAGCAAACAGGATAAAGTAGATAAAGCGTGAAATTTTCACCCAGTGTAGGTATAAACCAGATTTGAAGGAAGGCAGCTCCAGTCGTGCCCCATTGTAACATCAATGCGAGGGCGGATGCAATAAACATTCTGGATACGACTTTTGGCCCCCACCGACTACGAGGTCTCTTGACAAGTTGCCACGGAATGGAGTCGGCAGGTTGCAACTTCAGAGTGGAGTTGGCAGGTTCAAACGGAATGCAGTAGTTTTCGACTTGAGTCCTGGTGCCCACACGATTGCGCTCATTAGGTTTCTGACCAGTCTCTACTGCAACCCATTCAATAGAGGGGTCGACCGAGTCATGATTGCGAAAATGATCGGACGCCGCCTCGAAAGCTTCGGACACGTCTTCTACTGCCTGCACCCACGGAAGGAATCGCGCATAGTTGAATACTGGCGCAGTACACTTCTCATCCCGACGGAGCTCATCCACCTCTGTTAAGGTAAGCTCGATAGCTCGTGCTTCGGTTTGAGCTTCTCTCACGAGAACAACACGCCCATCAACCGTGGCAACGTGGGCCAGCCTGTTCGCGCGCTGTACAGCACTGCTCAAACGTGCCGAGTCACATTTGGGAGAGATCTGTAGCCACCCAATGACAATAGGGAGAAGCCACAACCAAAGTGATCCTATTCCTTGGCCGTTGGAATTGGAGTTGCTGATACCCACTGTGAAAGAATCAATGATGGTAAAGATGTAGGCGATGACCACCCATGCGATGGAGGTGGCTGCAGATATAGACCAGGTGTGGGTATAATCAATCCACTCGCTAAGTTCGGTCCACCACTCGTCGTTTTGGGGAAGAATAACGAGGGATGCAAGAAGCCCACCGTCCTTCTCTACTCTGATGGGCGATTGCTGAAGGCTGCTGAGGATGCGAATTACATTTCGGACATTGGGATAGGTGTATTGTGTAAACCGTCTGGCGACCCAACGACTGTTTAAGACAGTTAGGGTAAGCGAATATGCAGCCAAAGTTGGCGATCCAACCGTTAGGAGCACAGAATCCAAGTTGTCTAAATTATCCTTGGTGCCAAACGGGAGCTGGGAAACCAGCGCTAGCCACGGGAGCAACCACGAGCTGAATTGTTGCGAGAATATGGACCATTGAAATGGTTCTTGACCGCCACCACAAGCTTGGACGCACAGGCTGTACGTGATGCCCGTGGCATCAGAGACGTTTACAGGGTATCCATGATTGTCTGTGCCCCCAACATCCACACCCACTCCAAAAGTGCCGTTTTGTACTTTGGCTAGACAAATATTAAAGTTCGTCCAGGCGAAAGTGGCCATTGGAAAGGCGAGGGTGATGCCGGCAACGAATCCGACAAACTTGTGAGGAGATTCTACGTTGCCTCTCGTTAGCATGTAATCTCCAAGTTCCAAAAAAGCTACTCACTCATCGATGGAAACCTGACGGGCGCGGTGTGTTTAAAGGGCATTTGATTGCGAGGCTACATTTCTATTTATCAAACGAAAGAGGCGCCTCGAAAGGTGTTGAAGAACGAAAGTTCAACAGGAATGAGAAAGGGGGCGATGAATATGGATAAAGTTTTGGTGAACGAGCAGACATCGTGTGAGTACGCGCTGTGTAATTGCTGAAAGCAGTTGTATGCGCGCGTCATGTCAACGTGCCGTGAGAGCACGCGTTGTTCTGAATATATGCGTCGCGTTTGTTACTTGTACACCGCCATTTGGCCGAAACGTTTGCACCCCGTGAAGTTCACACGACGTTGATGTATTTTAGGGAGATTGCGTCAACGTGGGCGTGATGTTGTAGCCAGTTTCCTAACTAGATTTGGACACCGTGTCAACAGTTGCCGTGGCTAAAACATGCAATCAGGTAAGCTTCCCGTGAAAGTTTCCAACTGTTTGGAATGTAGGTATGGATAAGTGCTCTATGAAAATTTCCAGCTGACTGGAATGTAGGGGACAATGTTGGATTTGTCTTGTTCAACTGATTGCCACACACCGTCCAAGGGGATTTTCACCACAGGTAATCTGAGAAGGCGCTCATGAATCCTTGCACCTCAACAAGTGACAGCCAATCATGTGTCATTCATCATGTCCAAATCACTGTTATGCACTGTGTACTTGGGCCGTTAAGCACATGTAGGTAAATTGACTGTACACAATTTCGGGCAGCTTAGGTACTTGCAGAATGGAACCCTCTACAAAATGATCTAAAAACAGTCCTCTGCGAATTAGTAGTGCTAGTGCACTCCAAAGCATGTAGATCAGTCCGAATTCAATGATATTGAAACATTATATAATATTTCTTCAAGCTTATCTAATCTCCACCAAGTGTCAATGTCACAAAGCTCATCTTGAAGGTGGAGAAATGGAAGCTGGCACAACCAAAGAAATACAGTCACTAAACATCACTTACAAGTTACTGGCAAGTTGTTTAGAAACTTGTTCTTGATACCAATTATGTAAAACACCACATGCCCAATTGCAAAACTCGGATAAGCCAGACTTGCCAACAGACTTAGATCTGCCAACATTAAAATATGTTCTATACAATAAAAATTACAAGTCACTCACCTATATTCCAGTATCATCTACATTGCATTTGGTAGGAAATAGATTCACAAAACTGGGTTTGCGAGGCATCTTGGACAAAGTGATGAAAATGATGATGTCATCTTACCATATATGGACACGTGCCTGATTACGTAGGTAGGTAGGTCAAGCCAGTAAGGGCTTAAAAAAAAAATCGACCCCAGGTCTATTTTTTTAATCCTAGGACCCCCTTGGGTAACAACATGTTGTCCATCTTATTGAAGTTGTGGGCATGTGCTGTTTGATACAATTGTTGAGCACATGTAGGTAGATTGACTGTATGCAATTTCGGGCAGCTTAGGTACTTGCAGGTTCTAACATACCACCCGTCTTATTCAGTTCATCACGGAGGCCTGTTATCCCAATGTTATCCAGTAAGCTGCTCATGAAATTTGACAGTTAAGTCAGTAAGGCTGCTCCACCTTGACCAGGCATTGGTAACAATGTGTTGTCCATCTTATTGAAGTTGTGGCTATGTGCCGTTTATACCAGTACTTTACAGTGCCCCACCTATTCCTG